CTCTCCACCCGTTTCTCTCTCTCTTTCTCTCTCTAACTTTCCTCACTCTTTCTCTCTTTACCCTCCCTCATTCTTTCTCTCTACCTTACCTCACCATTTCTCTCTATCTATCTTTCTCTCTACCCTATCTTACTCTCTCTATCTCTCTTTCTCTCTCTACCCTCATTCTTTCTCTCTATACCACTCACATGCCCATAATACGGTCCGATACAAGGTGTGTCAGACCGAAATGTTTTTTGCGGTCTGGCACAAAAACGTGCTAGACCACACAAAAGAATTTCGGTCAGCACAAAAATGACAAAGAGAAAAAAAAGGGAAGAAAGGGAAAAATGGCATTTTGATATCAACATGCTTTTACTATTTGATTGGAGGTAAATACAAAGAAAAATAGTGTTCTGGTTGAGAGTATAATACAAAAAATATCAAGAGATAGGATTTGTAGAAAATTGAAACTGTGAAAGGGAAGGGGGGATATCGATAATTTTCCCTTATTTTAACAAACTTATTAGAGCTCATTTGTTTCTAAACAAGGTTCAAACCCACCATTTTTCTACTGCAGAACTCTAACGTTCTCTCTCTACCATTCTTCCAAAATCTCTCCGTACCCACTTGCTCCCAGCCTTAGCACAGACTCCTCTTCTTCATCGGAATCCTAATCTTAAAATATGGATTGTTTGCTGTTATCATTGCCTTTCCCACCATTGACTCCTCAAAGCCCTAATCCTTCAATTTTGATGAATCCACTCTTCCCCTTCCATTCCATTTTCTACAAAAGATACCCTAGCTCTGCAACTCTAAACACATTCATCTCCTGCAACAGCCTTAGCTCTACAACTCTTAACATATTTATCTCTGAGATAATTTTTGAGAATATAGGAGAAAATTTATTCTTGAAAATTATCGAGAATGAGTGTAAACTTAGAAAAAAATAAAAATTATGGAATCTGTCCTTTTAGGTAATAATGGCCTATTTTCGTGTCATTTTTTTATAAAGGAACTAAAACCCGGTCCTCACGCAAATTTCCGTAGTTTTTAAGAGACATGGTTGTATCTAAAAAATGGACAAGGTTTTTATGAGTCCTAGGATGTCCCCCTCTTCGTGATAAATTTTTGTGAGGGACTTTGGACCTAATAATTTAGATATATATATTATGTGACATGGAGATCATGAATGTGTAAATAAGTATATTTTAAAAATTAAAAATGATAATTTTGGGAGGAAAAATTTTAAACTATTGATTTTACCTTTTGTTTTTTGGAGAGACCACATGTGTGATGCCTCGTGGACGCAGATGTAGTTATGCATACCAAAACACATAACCACTTTCCTAGAAATTATCTACATAGAAAGGGCTTTATTTTAAACTCTATGGATCAAGTAACCTTCCTGAGTTGTGATTTAACTGAGGTTGCAAACTGGCACTTGCCTTTTGTTGTGTTTTCCCAAGGATTTACAAAAGTTTGCATAGGCTGTTATGGCATATCTCTGTGTATCATGCTTGGGCATTATCTTATGAACATTGTTTAGTATTTTTCATCAAGAAAACATATTCAAAACTGATTGCAATGGGGGCTGCGACTTTTGGTTGCAATCTAAGTGTTTTTGGACATGAAACCATGGTTTTAAGCCTAAGAATCATGAACATGAGACTCAAACATTGCATACCTTAATCTAAAACAGATCTTATATCTATATTTTGATCTTTTTTTATTATAAACACAGATTTAGAGCATATAAACATAGCATTAAGGGTATAGTTTTACCATCGTGTCCTTGTCCTCGAGCTTTTGATGGTCCAAAAAGCATCCTTAATGGATAGTTTCCTTGTCACATCTTGCCTTAAGGTATTTTCATCTGCTTTACACTGATTCTAGGTCTAGGCCGCCCTCTTATGCCTTCTGCTAGCCTCCCGACCTCATCATCTTCATAAAATTTTAACACCACATCCCTCCAAAAATTAGATATCAATCTCACATTGCCACCACTACGGTAAGGTACGCAGCGAATTAGTCTTCTTCTTCCCAATCCCCATTCTCTTTTAGGGGCACATACCTTATTCCAACTTACAAAGGAGACTCTTCTTCTATATATATGTAAGCTTCCACAAAAACCTCTTCATTGGGCCTTCCCAGTATTTCACTAGCCTCAAGGATTTCAAACAATCACATTTAGTACAATTCTAGGATAGAAAAAATAAATTCAAAATATCATTTCAATAGTGGAAAGTTTTGTGATAGCCTTAAAATATATTTTCATCTTTAGTTATAAAATTTGAAGCTTCAAAAATAGTTTAAATCAAAGAGATCTATAAAACTTGAAAATCTTGAAAATTGACGGTACAAAAATGTGTTACAAGATGCACTATTTTTCAAAAATTGAAATCCATTTTTTTTTCTCATGTCCATGGATCTTGATGTCGAGATGATCAATTTGATGATATTTGAGCATCAAAAGAACACCTTCTAGTGAAAGTTTTGAGGTAGGCTGTAATTTGATTGTTTAGAGCATAGGCTCTATATAAACTTTTCCCTTTTAAATAAGCTATATTTATAAATTGGAAAGATAAGGTTTTTCATGTTCTATTCTTTTATAGAGTGAGACATTTTAAAATTTGAAAGATAAGGTTTTTCATGTTCTATTCTTTTATAGAGTGAGACATTTTGGTGCTGCTTTGTTAATAAGCGAGGTTACAAAAGTCCTTCACACGTGAATATAGGAGCAGAACAAGCAAAGGCTATTTTTTACTCCTCTGAGTGGGTGCAAGTGAAGTGCGACTTTGTTACCAAAGTTTGGTCCATCCAGTGTGTGTCCTTAAGGCATTGATCTTGCAATACTTCATCCCAAGTCCAAACTCATTGAAGTGCAGTGCAGATCTATCACACACAAAAAAAAAAAGTCCTTTTGTTTTTTTAGTAAGGTTTTGGGCTTGGTTTTGATTGGTTAAGGTTTTGATTGGTTAAGGTCTTGCTGGTTTCATTGTTATTTTTGTGTGGGGGTGGAGGGGAAGAGAAGGCTTTTTTTTTATTCTCTGGGTAGTTCAATTGGTAGAATCGAACTTGAGACGTAGTTGATAACGTCAATTGCTAACCACTCAAGCCCAAGCCCAATTCTTTAGAGAAGGTATTCTCAACTCTAAACATTTATTGTTGGCTAGGTATTATAATGATTTCATTGGATAATATATATTTAAGTATATTTTTTATGAAAGTTGCATAATCATGGTTTAGACCCATATCATCATCATCATCAACATCAAATTCTTTTCCCAACTAATTTGAGTCGGCTGCACGAATCCTGATATGTTGTACCACTCTATTAAGGGTCATACTCTCAGTGAGACCATACGTCTTCGTATATTTTCTCTCTACTTCCAACCATGTTCTTTTACGCAGATCTCTTGCCCTTCTTTAGCCTTCCACTTAAACCAACTCACACTTCCTAACAAGTGTTATACTGAGTTTGTGCCCCACATGGTTAGCCCACCTAAATGTACTTTCTCATATCAAGATTACAAAATTTTAATAAACAAAAATTAATTGGTTTCTTTAAGCTTTAGACAAGAAAAAAAATAGCTAGGGTTTTAAAATAAATATAATAGCACTTCCTTTGATAAATTTCCTACAGGTGATTCATCACAATTCATATTAAGCGATAGTAATGGATGTTAGCCAGATAGAATGGATAAGGTCTATGGACTATGATTCTTTGCTATACGGAGATCATGCAATAGAGTGTGTCCGCTCCACATGGATTGTGTAGCGCTTAGCTTTCAAAACTTTCTACAGTGTAAAAATGAAGGTATCTAGTGGACTCAAGTTAGAATCAACGAGGAAAAGATTTGAGCCAGAGCTCCATATTGTGGAAGTTGGCCAACAGGCCAAACCACTAGAGAAATTTTTAACTTTATTTTTGGAATCATTAATCCTTCACATTGCGACCATTAAAAATAAGATTGATGTTGAGCTTTCAAACCCTAGATTGGATGGTTCACCAAATGAATGGTCCAAAGTCGATCTTGGAGCGGGAATTGATTTAGAGTATTTTTTTATGTTCGAACCATATTTATTTTTAGATTGATCATAGAGATAATTAAAGATGATTTAAGAGTTTTTGAGAATAAGCAAGTTGCCCTAACTTGGTCGTTATGCTTACTTCGATGATATTGGCCCTTAGCTTACCAATTCCTACCATGTAGCCTAAATATCTATAGGTCATGGTAGTCCATGTAAGGCTAAAAAAGGGGTAGGGGCCTAAAAGGATGAAAGATATGTGGACTTATGACCGCACTGAAGGTATGATCTCTAATAGAACAAAATGATGGACCATGATTTGTGTAGCCAACTCCAATTAATTAGAAAAAAGCTTTGATGATGATGATGATGATAGCGGTCCATATAATGTATTCTTCACCTTTAATGGACATTGGTGGAAGGTTGAGGAAATTTACAAGAACAAATTAGATTAAATTTCCAGAATAATCTCTAGTGGTACTCAAATATAATGTTGTTTAATAAATTTAATAAACTGTTATGGTGTTCTTTCTTATATAAAGAGGAAAATTCTCTCCTGCATCTAATGGAAAACTCCACCATCCCGAGTTTACTGAAAAGCCGAAAGGAAACTTTCATAGGTTTGATGTTGATTCACAAAAGAAAGAGTAGGTGCCCTTCAACCTACCATCCGAGACTAAATTTACGTTTTAAGGTTTCAAAATTTCTCTTGCTTCAAAGTAAAGGAAATGTATACATATCTCCCTGTCATGTATATGCATATCAAGAATCATGTTATGTTTGCCCAAAATCTAATGCAATCAGACTTGGAAAGCCAAACGTGTTCGAAAAATTTAGTCTCTCTCAAATAAGATCCCTCAAATGCTTGTTTCCATAGAGAGGCTTCAGTCCTTGATTTGAGCAAACTCCAAGGCTATCCGCTCTAAAATGGCTTACCTTTCAAAGGGTCAATTTTCTGATAAAATCTAAGTAACAAAGAGGATAAACCAGTTAATGTGGCTCCCCCATTTCCTACTTCTCGGCAAGAAAGGTCCCAGCTTGAGCTGGTGAAAGTGATTTGTGTTTTATTTAAGTTGTGAAGAGTAGATGGTGAATTCTCATAAAGAAAGATATGGAGCAACAGACGTACAGCAAGGAAGCATTTCCAGGTTCTTTCTCTCTCTCTCCCTCTCTCACACACACGTACACACGCACACAATATGCTTCGTATGAGAGTTCGAAGACCTGCTCACCTCACTGTGATTTGGTCACTCTACAGAAGCAGGAGGTCTCAGAAGACTAACATGGAGAGATACTGCATTCTGTAGCTCTCAACTGGTAATTAACCCACTCTCTTTGATTTTCCAGTTCTTCTTTCTCGCTACCCATGGCTCTGAGTAACTGTTGCTAACAAGCATTAGCAAAGAACTTGCACCAGGTCACTGTTGGTGAAGAACAATCCCAGCTCGTGAAGAAAACTCAACATGGAACAGGTATAGTTTCTGAAGAGGAAGCAAAGATTCGTGACGAACTCGAGATAGACATAGAGAGGGATTTGGAGGCCGAAATAAAAGATGATATATGGCAGCTTGCTCTGCGATTGAATCAACTATATCGGAAACAAAGCGATCGAATTTCAACTCAGCTCGTGGATTCAATACCACATGTTTTACTCAAGGAGAAAACCCCAGTTTTCTCTGAGGTTGAGCTAATTATCAAAATGATAGGAGGATCCACAGTGGAGATGATAGAGAGAAAGAAGGAAGTTTCCCACCTTAGTTCAGGGGTGAACCATAACAATTGCAGGCCAAAAAACAAGGTGGATACCAAACCAAGAACAACGGCAATTTCTAGTGAGAGGAACTTTGATTGGGCCAAAAGTCTCAGAAAGGGCACACCCTCTCAGCCAATGAAGAGGAACATTGTCCATGATTGTGCCGGCCCGAGAATTAACAGGAGCATAGTGGCTTACACTTCCATGACTAATGGAAGAGAGAGCATCCTTTACAAGAAACAGATCTTGGGTTCCTCTATTGATGAAAAAGAGAGAAACGGAAACATGGGAAAAGGACTAAGTAAACATGGAAACATCAACTATGCTCCTCATTTAGGATGGAAAAATTAACAAAAAGTTCAGGTATCTTAAAAATAAGCTGAGAATAATAAGGCTTATGTTGAAGCCGTGGGACTATTTGTTGAGCAGTTTGTTTGGTTGATTAACATCGTGGTAATGTCAGTTGGAGTGAAATAATGTATGGTTAGTGATACTGATTTGTAAAAGATATTCAAGATTAGTTGGTGGTGTGATTTGGTTCATAAATAAGTCAAAAGTAAAATTACCAAATTTTTGCTTCGGTCCATAAGTTCTCTAATTTTACTGCAAAGTCTTGCTCCCCCATTATTATTTGGGAAAGGTTTCTATGCTCTCCCTACAGCATATAAGTTCTACCCTTCTCCTACGATCCAGCCGTCCAATTTTGATCAATAGAGCCACTCACTGTTTGATCTTAGATCTGACATCACAAAGCATTTTATTTTTAGTTTTTTTTATACAAATTGTATGAATATGAAATTTCGTACGTGTCATCTTCTCATTGGGGCGCACCTAAAAAAAATATTAAAAATAATTTTTCGATAAAATATAATGATCAAAATACCCCTTGAAATTTTTAGGGGTATTTTGATCATTTTATTTTATTGAAAATATTTTTTTATATTTTTCGCTAGTGCGAGTTTAATAGATGAATGGATGTCCAAAATTTGGTGTCAAAATAGTTTATAGAAAAATAAATAAAAATAAAATAGTGTAAAGACATGACATTGTGATTGGAGCAATCTTAACCATCCATTCAGAATGGGTGGTTGGATAAGGGGGAGTATAAAACTTTTATGCTGCAAGGGAAGCATAGAAAGCTTGCCTTTATTATTTTGGGTAAGCTTTCTACGCTTCCCCTATTGCTTAAAACTTAGAGAAAGTATCTCCATATCCCATATTTTTAAGTTTTATATCTCCATAGATTCAAGATTTCAAAACATATCTTGGATCATAGAAATCATATCTTCTAACCCCCTAAACTATCTTTTTTATTTTAATTCAATTTTTCTAACCCAAACAAATTATAAAATGATAAGCCTTTTTAAACCTATATTTTCTCTCTCTTCCCCAAATTTCTCCCACTTTCTCTCCCCAAAGCCCCTTCTGTTTCTCCTTGGTGTATTACCCCAACTCTCTCTCTCCCCCTCGGCATGTTTGGGGTCCTAAGAATGATCCTGAACAGGGATTTAGCTGTGGGAGCAAATCTACAAAATGCTCCCGCTGGAGCTCATAATCATTTGGTTTCAAGTTTTTATTCTCCATCTAGGAGACACCCTTTAATAGATCTGGTAAGAAGAATCTAAGCAACAGTCCAAAAAGCAAAAGCTTAAGTGGAGGGAGAGCATATGCTTCCCCCTATTCAACCGTCCATGGCTGAGAGCCCAATCACATTATCACGTCTCTATATTATTTTTATTTTAAATTTTTTTACAAACTATTTTGATACCAAATTATGGGTGTCTACTCTTCACTTAAATTCGCACCTGTAAAAAATATGAAAAAAATATTCTCAATTAAATAAAATGATCAAAATACCCCTGAAAGATTCAAGAGGCATTTTGGTTATTATATTTTATTGAAAAATTCTTTTTAATACATTTTTTAGGTGCATCACATTCAAATGATGGTACGTACCAAATTTCATATTCATATAATTTATATAAAAAAAGACCTAAAAATAGAATACTATGTATCAGATATAAGATCAAACGGTTAGTAGTTCACTTTAGGGGGGGGGGGGGGGGGGAGGAAGGAATATCGTTTGTGCAGTAGGGGAAGTATAGAAACTTTTTCTTATTAATTTTCCTTCATTTTGCCCTCAGTGAAATTGTTTATTTTGTTATTCTTTTTAATTTTTTTTGTACATTTTTGGGATGGTCTGATGTTTAATATACTTAACCGCTATAGTTGTAGGGCAATCCGATAATTGCAACATTAAATTGCCTTGTATTTTTTGCCCAACAATGTTTATAGAGCCTTCCAATGTTTGTGTATTTTATTATTCTTTTTTTTTTTTACATTTGTGGGACAATCCAATGTTCAATATATCAAACCACCACATTTGTAGGGCAATTCGATAACTTCAACTTCAGACTCTCCTACATTTTTTGCCCAACATTGTTTATGGGGCGGTCCAATATTTGTAACATCGAACCTCCCCTTCCGTAGTTTTCTTATGCTTTAGTTGTTAGAGCTTTCAAACATCGGATCACTTTTGAACTACTTTCATTTTTTCCTAATTATCTACTGCCTGATATCGAAAAGCTCGGACTTCTAAAATATAAAAACTATGAAAGATGATAGTCCGATGTTTTTACCAACCTATAAAAGATGGATAGCCAAAATTGTAGGGTAGTTAGATGTTGTAGTTGTCATACCGCTCTACAAATAGGGTGGTTTGATGTTTTAGGCATTAGACCACCTCTCAAGTGTCAAAAAAAATTTAAAAATGAAAAAAAAATATAGTAGTTTGATATTTGAAACATCGAACTAAGAGTAAAATTATAAAACTAAAATAAAATAAAAAAATTGTAAAAAAAATAAAAATCAAGGGAGTGGGACCTTGAGTAAAATTATTGAACTTTTTGCCCAATCATAGCCATTTCCCGTAATTGTGATAGGACAATAAACCAATGCTATCAAATTCAATCCGCTTCAGCCAAAGCCTTCGGATTTTAGGCATAAACCGAAGAGAAGTGGAGCGTCGTGCTGTCGCTTCAGTCTGATTCGGACCGTTTGGGGCTGCTGCGATCAAATTCGGACCGCTTCGTGTTTGCTTCGGGTATGCTTCGGCCAGCCAAAAAATAAGTATCTACATGTATTTTTAAATTTTAAATTTTAAATTTTAAATTTTTAAATTTTTAATTTTTTAATTTTTTTAAATTTTTATTTATTTTTCATTATTTGTATATATTTTATATATAAATATCTAACTTATTTATACTAAATTAAAAGAAAAAAAATCTGGAGTCTTCCCCCAAATCCACTAAAGCACCGAATTGCTTCATTGTTCTCGCCAAATTGAAGAAGACTCCAAAGCGAATTTGACAGCATTGCAATAAACGTTATGGCCCTTGTTTGAGTTGCTTGCTTCACAACAATGATATAAAAAATGGATCGGTGACTCGGATCGGGCACCCCAAAAATCGGCAAGGATCAATGTTTTAATGCGTGAGGAAAAAAGTGAACAGGCAAAAATAATATGTGAAAATACAATTAATAAGCAAAACACCGATCCCGATTGGTGAATCGGTGGTCCAGATCGCCGTTTTACTGTGCGGAACTGTCAATTCCCATCTAGACTCGGCTATTTTCCTATATATACATAGAACTGGAACATAGTGACTTATTCCTAAATCAAACCGAGCAATTTCGTGTTGACCTAAAAAATTTTAAAGCACTGTTTCACAACGGCGGAATTCTAAAGAAATACGGCTACTTGAAATATTGTTGTTGTGCAAGGGCCTCTCAAACCATAAAAATGCAATGACATACGGCTAATGTAAATTCGATAGTCATGGGATGATATACAATTTTTAATTGGAATCACCAATTTTATAAGAAAGTCGCAATCACTCATAGCCATTAAATGTCAAATTGGATAGCTTGGACTGTATTATGAAGTTTGAGAAATTTTTTCAAATTTTAAGTTTAATCAATGACACACTTACAACCATCTCATTTACAATTTCTTGTACTAAAAGCAAATGGTCCCTTTGTATACTTTTCCTTAGTAATTGGTAAATAGTCGGCAAGTCTCCGGTACCCATGTTTGGTATATGGAAGTCACAATTAATCTTGACCATTAGATGTGAAATTTGGCAAATGCATTTGTCTCATTAGAGAGTCATGTTTATACGTTTTTGGGGAATATTATAGAGAATCTCTATTTTAGTTTTGAATTTTAAAACAATCTTATATATTTTATATTTTATATTTTATATTGAATTCCTATTTTTTGAGAGTATATAGTGTATTTTAGTTTTATTTTTTTTAGATAAGATCAAGTTCAAATTTGGGATGTCTATACTGCCAGCCATCTCACATTTATAAATAAAAAATAAAAATTCAATAATAATAAAAATAACTAAAATACCCAATATTATTTAAGGTCATTTAGATAATTTATTTGTTTGACAAAATCGAATTAAAATATTCAATTTTTAAAAAATATGAATAAAGACATTGCCTGTGTTTTCATATATTTGAATATATATTACCGTGATATATTATTTTTTAGGGCAAGCTTTCTATGCTTCCTCTACAACATAAAACTTATATACTTTCCCTTATCTAACCTTCCATTTTGAATAGAGGGCTAAGGTTGCCCCAATTATAATGTCACATCTCTACACTAGTTTATTTTTAATTTTTTTTTATAAACTAGTTTTACACCAAATTGTGGACGTCCAATCTTTTATTAAACTCGCACTAGCGAAAAGTATAAAAAAAATATTTCTAATAAAATAAAATAACCAAAATCCCCTGAAATTTTCAAGGGGTATTTTGGTTATTATATTTTATCGAAAAGTTATTTTTAATATTTTTTATAGGTCGCTCCAATGAGAAGATGGCAGGTACCAAATTTCATATTCATACAATTTGTATAAACAAAACTAAAAATAATATTTTAAAAAGTCGAATTTAAAATAAAACAATTAGTGGCTCTCTTGATCAAAATTGGACGGCTGGATGGTAGGGAAAGCCTAAATCTTTTATACTATAAGAGAAGTATAGAAACCTTTTCCTATTTTTTTTTTTTTATGCATGTTTGGTAGGAAAGCGATGATCTTACAATACCTCTTGGGGTGAAAAAGAGATTTTCAAAAGGGACATCCAGTCACACCAGAGGTTTCAACTCATCTATCTCAGGTCCCGCTCTCTCCCACTAGAAATAAGATGCCGCCACTGCAGTTTTTTTTGGGTGTGGTTTTGATAAGGTTGCAACCTTAACAATCCAATTAAGGCTCACCTCATCCAATTAAAGCTCACCTCCAAATTTTATCGTTAATTTTGGTGAAATTGTTTTTTAGGATTATCTCAAAATCTATTTTTATGTCTAATTATAAAATTTTAAACTAAAAAAATAGTTAAAATCAAGTACATCTATGAACATATAAAAATCTTGAAAATGGACGGTCTAGATAATGTATTATAAGATGCACTATTTCTAAGATTTAAAAACTTCATATTCATACATCTTGATGTCGAGATGATCAATTAGAGGTTTTCTCAACATTTAAACAACTTTTTTAAATAGATTTTTGAGGTGCATCCGTAATTCTACATTTTAAGATTGCAACCTTGCATAAATTTTTGCCATTTTTAATATCGTGAAAATTTCATGTCCTAGCTGAAATTTTGGGGATTCAGGTTTAAGACAATTATTTGGATACAAAATGATACGATTTGATCCTCTCAAACATGGTTCCCTAACTTCTATAATCAAAATTATATTTAATTGTATAATATCCTGAATTATTAGGATATTAGGGTGTTAACAAATATACCCGAAATTTTAATATTTTTGCGAGAAGCATGCATGGCCCCAATATAATGTTTTAAAATAATAAACTTGTAATATAATATGTACTTTCAAAAAGCAGGGAGAGTCATCACCGATGGACGCTGGGAGCGGGATTAGCCCAGGCATTGGTCACAGTATGATCCACATGATCAGTTCCAGCAATGAAATGGAGGAACTGTGGATCATCTCCATCTAATCAATGGTTTGATGGTGGTGATGGAGAATTGTAGTTCCCCAACCATGCTGTAGGAGTTGAGAATTTAAAGGACAGGAGAGACGGCTATAATTTTGTAAAGTAGGCAGCTCCTTTTTCTCCCTATGTTTTCATGGAGGAGCCTCCTGAATGCAAGTAGGAGAATGTCATGCCTCGTCCTTAGCTTCTCTCCTCCTCTTCCTGCAACTCCTGCTCTTTCTCAATACTCTTCTGTCCTCCCTCTCTCTCCTTCCCAAGTAAGTTGTTTCAGTCTCTTTCTCTCTCTAAACCTGTTTCCCTCTCTCTCCTTCCCAAGTAAGTTGTTTCAGTCTCTTTCTCTCTCTAAACCTTTTTTTTAATGTCTCTCTCTAAACTTATTTTGCTTTATTTCTCTTTGCCATATTACTCAAATCAGACACATATTCGGTTGATTCCCATTTCGTTTTTTAAGCAGTTGGGTTTTGCTTCTGCGTCCAATTTCGGTTCTTGGGTTCGAAGTCGAGGCTTCTGTCACTGGTCCAGTGGGGTGGGAGCCATGGGTGACCGGGGTGCCGCCACTTCGGAGCACTTGAAGGATCCTGACCGCATATCGTATCTATCGCAGAAAGATGCGGCTGAGATCGATGAGATTCTCATGGGACCACTCGGGTTTAGTGTTGATCAATTGATGGTAACTCTGAGCTATCAGTATGAATTTTTCTCGATTTATCAAGCTGAATTTCCTTCTTAATATTTGCATTCTATTTTTCTTTTGACTGGGTTTTGATTTTTTTTTGTGGTTTAGTGTTTGTTAGTCAGTGATTCCTCTGTTATATGGAGTTGGGGGCAATTTTGAATGGTCTAATTCTAGTTCGGGATATGAAATTTACAGGAATTGGCTGGCTTAAGTGTGGCATCGGCTATAGCAGAGGTAAAGATTCATATAAAGGAAATTAGGTTGACAGTACACTGGACTAATTCAACAGAGAAAGCTGGCATAAAAATCTATAATGTGAATTTATGCAATGTAGAATTTTTGGTATGAAAGTTACTTGCTTAGGCAGTGGTATATATAAATATCTTTTATCACGAACATATTGTAAACAGATTAAACATACAAATGGTGACATTCAGGTGATTGAAACTTGATTATTTAAAAACATTTCAGTTGATGCCTTCTGTTTAGTTTTAGTAATATAAGTTATTGTTTTTAAAAATAGTTTCGATAGATATTCTCTTTGTATTATATGTCAGAATGATGTATTGTATCTGCTATGCAATCCATTGAGATTGTCTTGGTCTTGCAGCACTTTGTTATTTACAAGCATGACGTGATGCCCTTATTGTGGTCACTGTACTTAAATTTACCCATTATCTATTAAAATGTTTCTGTTTTAGAATTTGGCTGTACATCCGGGTTTTCACCAGTTTTTAAAATTCTGGTGGTATATATAGTAATTATGAGGACATGTTATTATTATAACCATTGATGGTTCATTGGAAAAATAAGGTGGTAGTATGAATGAGTCTTGTTAGTTAATGGGCATCCTAAGAGAGTAACCCAAGCCCCCAAAGTTGAAACTTGAAACTAGTTTCTTTGGTGAAGTATGTTTACTATGGAATATGAGTCTTGGAGCCCACAGTGTAGACCAGTAAACCAAATGGAGTTTCTCAACTTCCAAATAGATCTCAGTCATATGGTAGATATAGTTGGGAAGAGACTTAACCATCGTTGTTGATATGCCTTGGAAGTTTTTAGATGAACTGGAAAGAATATGATTCTACTGTGTAAATGGTGTGGGTCTTTCTTATCCAAAAGAGTTCCAGATCTCTCATTGAGACCATTGAGAATCATTGGATTGGAAGTTGTACACATTCATTACGGTAAGTATGTGTGCAGCAGATCAGATTTAACCTTGGGTTATGGGGTACCCTTTTTCTCTTTTATCATTTCTATTCTTGCTACATATTTGAGGTTAAGTTTTTCCCCTTGATATTCAACACAGTGGTTAGTCTTGTAGTGTTTTATCAAACAGTCAACATTTATATGTTTCGATGCAACAACAAGACGTTATTTGTAACAAGTAGTTTTGTTGGTTGGTTAATCGGTTACATTTTATTCATGAAATGGGTTGGATTGGTATACTCTGGATATGGCAAAATCATTCTATTAGATCAAATAAGTACATTAAGTACCTAGACTCTTCAGACATTTTCTATGGAAATTGTTTCTTTAATTTGAAAACAGGGTGTCGTTGATTCCTATACTGAGATTGATGTTTCACAAGAATGATGTGATTCTTGTTTTTAGTGGTAAACATATCAGCTGTTCTTGTTCTTTGTTGTTATATGCAACTTGTCTCTATCTTTCTAAATGAAATTGCACTCTGGCAATGAAGAATTTATTTAGGCATCTTAATCTTTATTTACTCTTCCACGTCATGGAGGAGTTGCTTTCCTATTTGTAGAGGTGTTGGAACAGTTTAAGAGGTAATTTTTCCTGTAATTGTTTTGACAGGTCTATAGACCCAGTGAGTATAGCTGTGTCCTTGTTATCTGTGGTCCCGGAAATAATGGTGGTGATGGTCTCGTGGCTGCCAGACATTTATATCATTTTGGTTACAAGCCATTTATATGTTATCCAAAGCGCACAAACAAGCCGCTTTACTCTGGTTTGGTTACACAGGTATGCTTTGGATACCCATACCGTGACTGCCTCTTATTTCAGCTTCATACCTATGTCTTATGTGACATTTTATGTTGTAATGTTGTAGCTGGAATCATTATCAATACCATTCTTGTTGGCAGAAGACCTGCCTTCGAACTTATCAAATGATTTTGACATTATCATAGATGCAATGTTCGGTTTCTCTTTTCATGGTACTGTGCTTATTCTTCACCTTTTCGCTTTCATTGTTTACGCATGCCAACAAACCTTAATGCAAAGTTCTCAAAGCTTCTTTCAAAATATTGCCTCTTTCATTTATCAAATGTTGCTGTTTTCATTATGCTTGGATGATATAGAGAAGTTCCTCAAACGAAGCAGTTTGATATTCTATTTGATGGCTAGAAATAGCGTCATATGTGAAACAAATTCTTTTCAGTAACCATGGTTCTGATTATTGTTTTATAGATTGCAAATATCAAATTGAAGTTAGAAAAATTAGAGTGATGGTATAATACTTACCACAATTGTTTGAAACGCATGAGATACCGAATTGTTTTAAGAATCAGAATCTCGAAATCGTGGCTTGCTAGAAGATTCTTGTTTTTATAATCGCGTTCCGTACAAGGAGAATCATGGAAAACGAGATCCTACTTTATAGAATCGAGATTCAACCCAAATGGAGTAGAGATCCCTACATATACGGAATCGAGATATTAACAGCTTTAGAATCGAGTTTCTGACCTATTTGGAATCGATCCATATGGGATCGAGATTACTTCATTTATGGAATTGAGATTCCAATATCTTTGGAATCGAGTTTTTGATGCATTTGGAATCGAGGTTCATATCAGTTTGGAATCGAGTTTCGACCCACCTTGAGATTTGTAATTCTATGGGTGAGTTTCAACCCCTTTAGAATCAAGATTCGTATATCAATGACATCTCGTGCCTTAACAACTTAGAACCTCATCAAGCGTTTGAGATCAGAGGTTTGTAAGACCTGAAGAAGAGTTCCTTAGATTTGAAGCAGTGTAGAAAAAATCGAACTAGAACGGTTAAATGGACATGGGGCCAGAAGTAGTTACTTAATACTAATTAGTAAACCGGCCGGTTCAACCGGCCTAACAGGGCAAGTCCCAGGCGGTCAAAAAAGTATTAATTTTTTTTAATAAAATATGAAAAATATATTTAAAGCATGATTCAACGAAGCACATCCAAATGAAGTTGAAAATTAACAAAAAAAATTGATTTTAAAGAATTGATTGTGCTCAGGGGTATTTTTGAAATTTTCCAAAAAGATAGAAAAATGTAAAAATAAGTATTAATGGTCAAAAAAATTTCAATCTTTTCCAAAGTGATGAAAAACATTAAAAAATGTGTTACAAACAAAATCTCTTATTTTTTTGGGATTTTATATGATTTTTTTATTTGTTTTTAAAATACCCAGCCGGTTCAACAAAACCAGCTAAAACTGGAATGGGCGGTTAGAATTTGAACCGCCTGATTTTTCCTACACTGATTTGAAGTCAATGTATTGACTATTGAGCCTCAGACAAAGTATTAGAAGTATGTTCAATTAATAGACACTCGTAGTCCACTAGAGAATATCTACAAAAGATATAAATATTATACCAAATATTTTTAAAATGGGATTTTGATTTTATTATTATAGTTCAAAATAGGATTTTGTTTGTGCCATGGTTGGTTTGTGTTTTCAGTCCCATTTGAACGTAAAAATTGTTACCAATTATATTTTAAAAAAAGGCAACCAATCCTAGCTATTAGAAATGTTATCTGAGCCATTCCTAGCACTATTAGACACGTGACCAAATCGAACCTAAATCTCCCTTGTGCGGAGCACATATGAACCATGGGAGACAATCGTCTCCAGACCAGTTACCAAATAACTCAAATCAAAATTGATAAATATTTAAACCAATCCATAGGTCAGCAGGTTTGTGGACCTAGAATATAGTATTTGATTTTGTGGTATTACCAAATTAGATCGAGATTCTATGAGGGTGGAAATGAGATTCGATGTTTGATTAATTCATGATTTCTTGCATCTACGAACCATAGTACTTGATGTTTAGGAATCTGGATTCGAAAATTATCCAATTGAATATCACTATATGTGGAATCTAGGTTCAACAAGTGTAGACTCAAGATTCAATAATTGTATAATCGAGAATCAATTAACATTAGAAATGAGATTTTGCAAGTGTTGGAATCGATATTCATGACTTCACGAAAACAGATTCTATAACTTGTTGGAATCGCAAAATCGGAATGCAATCTTGAGTGAGAGATTACGGTAACTATGGCTTAATGTCACTATTTGATCTATACTTGTGGGTAGACCGTGGACCCAATGACAAACAAGGATTTACTTGCCAAGAGGAAGTTTAATAAGATCCCATGTATGGTTTTACTTCGCTGCTTGCATCCCTTCTTCTTTATGGCTTCCCTCCACTTAATATGTATTATAACCACTCAAAATGTCCTAGGTGAAGAATGAGAAAAGGAAGCAAGAAAAGAATAACATGGAGAGGATAAAGCAGTACAAGACACGAAACACTGAATCGGTTGCGGATTTTTCACTTTCCTTTGTGAATAGTGGTACGAGGAGAAGAAGAAGAATTATCTTCAAGGATTGACGGCAAGTTCTGGGAAGTTTCTTGGCCAGGCAATTTGAGTAATGGCTTTTGATTTGCTTGCTCCTGCTCTCTTGCCCTCCTGACCAGGTGAGTATTGGTGGTCACTCTATGACATCCTCTAATGAGGATCTGGCTTAGATACCAGGAAATTTGGAGCGGGTTGGATGTTAGCAGGTGAATCAGATTTAGATACAAAGATATTTGCAGTTGGTTGAACTGGAAAGCTAGGGAGAGGCTCCCCGTCAAAGGGTTCCTAAAATGCGTAATCCTTTGAAAAGTAAGATATATGCTCTAGAAATGTAACATTGTGAAACATAATGCCTTTTTTTCTTTGGATCATAGTATTTGTAGATCTTTCGAGTAGGAGAGTACCCTATAGAAGTGCATCGAACAAACATGGCTTTCAGCGTCTCTCTAACTTTTTTTGCTAGATGGACAAAGCAAACACAACGAAAGGCTCTTAGATGGTCGACAGATGGTGGATGCCCCGTTAATTTTTCGTAAGGAAAAATATTAGTAAGAAGTAAACTAAGAAAACAATTTATGAGATATATATTGCAAAACATACAACATCATCATCATTGTCAAAGCCTTTTCCCAACTAATTGGAGTCGGCTACATGAATCCTGGTCAACCATTTTGCTCTATTAAGGGTCATACTGTTAGTGAGGCCACAAGTCCCCATATCTTTTCTCACTATTTCTAACCATGTCCTTTTGGGCCTACTTTGGTTTGTTGTGGAGTATGTGAACATGAAAGTTGTTGCTTTATCCCATTATTCTTTAATTAGTTCTTAAATGCATAAGATGAGAACTCACCTCCCCCATCACTACAAAGGAACAAGATTGGTCTACAAAATGATCTTGAACAAAATTTTTAAATTGTACAAATGTTTCAAATACTTTAGACTTTTCCTCGAGGAAATAAATCCAAGTATATCATGAAAAATCATCCACGAAGATCACATAATAATTAGTATGAGAAGAAGCATTTGGTGTAGGTCCCCGCACCTCAAAATAAATTAATTCAAAAGGTGGGGAAGCTTTTTTATCGAAATTGGAAAGGGATTTGGGAATGTTTACCCAACTGATAAGCATGGCATGAAAATAAATTCTGATTCTTAAACAATGATGAGATTAAACTCTCTGTACATGACCTACTAACTCATAACTGCAATGATCTAGAAGGTGCTGCCAAGCATTAGCATTTTTACTTTTCTGAGATAAAGAGACTAACGATGGGAGCTTCATCGGTTCATCATTCAAGACATATAGACATCCTTGTCAAATCCCCTTAGCAAACATTGTCTTAGATAATGGATCCTTCAAAAAAATAGAAGACTGACACAAACCTAATAACTTGAGTTAGAGTTTTAGCAAAGTAGAAGAGGGGGAAGTGTTGGAGCGATTTTGAGTTGAAATGTGCGAAGAACACAAAACAAACTCAAAAGAACTTCAACAATTACTCTGCTAGGGTATATCTATAAGCAGAGCTTTATTTTATTTCTGGGGATTGAGCAGTTCCAAGGTATTCGTAGACGCCTTGTGGATTACATCCACTATCTTATACAATAGAGAAGTGCAATACCTTTGTTTAATCAATCACATATGACTTTGTCAAGAGGAGAAATGTAATAGGAAAAAACTAGCAAGTCTTGTTGGCTATGCCTACTTGTACGAATTTGTTCATACAAATACAATGGTAAACACATCAATATCCCGGTCTGCCTATTATCTCCTTGTGATTGTATTTCTCATTCTATATCTCTTCCTTCCTTCACTCCTCTTTTTTTTTATTTCAGTGTCTTTGATGGAGCTATTTATAGCCATGGAACACTTCGATTAGTGGCTCTCGATTGTGTGCGGTAGTTGCGATGTAGTACGTGTTGTGTTCCTCGTGTCTTGCTTTGATGATGACACGTGATCTTACACATTTGTTTATGGATTCTGGAGTGTGTTTATCTCATCTTGAACGTGTGTTGTGTCATCTTTATCAAGCACGTCATTTTAGAAGGATGTAGCGTCTTCCTTCAGGAATGACTAGGGTGAAAGGTTTTATCCTTTCGACAAGTTTAGTATATGTAGTCTTCTAGAATGTGTTCATAACTCTTTGGACCTTTAGGCTTTAGAAGATCCGAGTATCAGGGGTATTTCGTCAATAATAATCATTGGGTAAATGGTTTATATATTGAAAAGTGTGAAATAGACTAGTAGAAGTTGTTTTCCATATCCACCAGAGCATTAGTGGTATGATAAGCAGATTCACTAGGGAGTCTCGTAATGGGTGCAAATTCACCAGAGAGTCTCGTAATAGGCAAATCAACGTTAATACACATTTTACATCTATATTCGAACTAGGGATCATATATTAGATGTCATCCCCAATACTTTATGAATGTACCAAAGCATCAACTCAAATTCATATGATTCCTACATAGGCAATTGATTCAGAAGTTTAGGGTGAAAAGAAAAGACATCGACATGGTCTTTATTGATATAGAGAAAGCTTATGATAGAGTACATTGAGATTTGATTTAGTGGGTGTTGGAAAAGAAATGAGTTGCAAGACACTACATCAACTTGGTGAGAGATATGTACAAAGGAGCGGTAACTAGTCTATGATCAACTAGTGGAGACGAGTGAGTTTTCTAGTGACAGTAGGTCTACATCAAGGGTCAGCATTGAGCCCATACCTCTATTTGTCTTAATTATGGACGAGGCACCTACAAGATGAGGTATTGTGGTGCATGTTGTTCGCCGAGGACAATTTTAATCGATGACACCCGAAACAATGTCAACATAAAGTTAGAATTTTGAAGGGATGCTCTAGAATCTAAAGGTTTTAAAATTAGCCGGTCTAAGACAAAGTATATGAAATGCAAATTTTGTAATAATAAGAGTAGAGATGAGATGGAATGCAAATTTTCGTAGGATTAGGACGTCGGAAGTAAAAGAAGCTTTGAAAAGGATGAAGATAAGAAAGGCTTTAGGACTAGATGATATCCCGATAGAGGTTTGGAAGTTGCATGGGGGAAATTGGCATTGACCGGCTGACGAAGTTGTTCAACAAGGTGTTGAGAACAAAGAAAATGCCAGACGAATGGAGGAAAAGTATTGTGGTACCTATTTACAAGAACAAAGGAAACATACAAAATTATGTGAATTATCGAAGGATCAAGCTTATGAGCCATACTATGAAGCTCTGGGAGAGAGTGATTGAGCAACGACTACGGCATGAAACGAGTGTATCTAAAAACCAATTTAGTTTTATCCCAGGAAGGTCAACAACTGAGGCTATTTCCCTACTTAGGCAACTGATTGAGAAGTTTAGGGTGAAGGGAAAAGACCTCCACATGGTCTTTATTGATCTAGAGAAAGCTTATGAAAGAGTACCTCGAGATTTGATTTGGCGGGTGTTAAAAAAGAAATGAATCTCCAAACACTATATTAATTTGCTAAGAGATATGTACGATAGAGCACTAACTGGTGCACGAGGAATTAGTGAAGAGACGAGTGAGTTTTCAGTGACAATAGGTCTACATCAAGGGTCAACATTGAGCCCGTACCTCTTTGTCTTAGTTATGGACGACTTAACTAGGCACCTACAGGATGAGGTACCGTGGTGCATGCTATTCATTTGCATATGACATAGTTTTGATCGATGACACCTGAAACAACGTCAATACAAAGTTAGAACTTTGGAGGAATGCTCTAGAATCCAAAGGTTTTAAAATTAGTCGGACTAAGACAGAGTATATAGAATGCAACTTTTGTAATAATAAGAGTTGAGATGAGGAAGTAGTTAAGATTGACGGCCAGGAAGTACAAAAAAGGCTGCACTTTCAATATCTTAGGTCTATAATCCAAGAAAATGGAGAGATTGAGGAAGATATCGCACACAGAATTTGAGCTAGTTGGGCAAGATGTGCGACTAGAATTTTATGTGATCCTTGTATACTAATAAAACTGAAGGGTAAGTTTTATAGGACAACTGTGAGACCAGTTTTACTCTATGGGGGAATGTTGGGCCGAAAAATAATATACCCATAAAATGAATGTAGTGGAGATGAGGATGTTGAGATGGATGAGTGGCAAGACAAGAAGGGATAGAATTCGAATAAGTCAATACGTAGAGAATTTAGGTGTAGG